TTGTGTAACACCACTGAAAACGATAAAATTTGAGTTTATATAAGAATTATATAAGGATATAGGAGTGTAATTGAAAAGGAGAAGAAAATAGACGTTTTAATTTTCGGTTTACATAATAAAGAGTAAATTTATACAATCAATTACAGTATCATATAAATAGTAATGACTATACGCAACATTACAAGTATTACAATATTCTTACGCGTGTAGTAAAAAACACTATCTGCACTATACTACACTTACACGGTACTTATTGGTAATATTTACAGTGCTCCGAAACGAGCGGAATTTCTCCCATTTTTATCAAAGAAAACATCGAACATCAACGTTCGCAATACCCATCCGGTTCGAAATGATTCGTGAAACCATTCTACAACCATAAAATATCGAAACATTGATCTTTCGTCGAACGTTGTGACAATTTATGAAAAATCAAAATGTCTAACTCGGTTCATGGATATCTTTGATAATGTTGCAACTCTTTCTTAAACCGATAATTTAATATTCAGATCATGAAATAGTTGCACTTAATATTACGATAAACTTCGCATAATGTCGAATAATGGAGAAAACGATTTAATCCTCTTTTGACCGAATTTTCCATCGCTATCTCTTCTATACAATGTTACGTGTTAATGCATTTCATACTTTTTCTTCCATTTATCCATATACTATGCTACAAGAAACGATAGGTGACACTGAAACCCTAACAATCTAGTATAAATTAAAAATCGAAGTACGAAGTGCTACCAGAGCCTTCGTAATTATTCGCATGAACGCACTTTCAGTGCGAAACAAACAGTTACAAAAATATCATCGATGTATTTTTCCCTTATTTGACACCAAGAGATTGAGATGTTCATATTTAATGGTCCTCTTTACACCAAAGGCACGTTATTTCAATAGATATAGTGCGCAAGAATTAATAAGGCAAGAACTTTGTTAAACAGATCCTTGTAAAGAGCTAACAAACTTTCAGTTTACTTTCCTTGCAATTTTTCACTTTTAATCGATAGCTTTCGTTGGCTCGTTCATTTTAAAAATGTGTTACATTTTTCATTTATCTATATTAAAATTTTTAATTACTTCGTTGTAATGTTACAAAATTACTTCGTTATACTATTAATATCGATATTATAATAAAATTTTATAGTTCATATTCCATTGTATTATAATAGTAATATTGTAAGGAAATACTATTGATCACGCGAAGGAGTTCCACGTTAAAAACATCCAAGGGAGAAGGGCAGTAAGAAATGGAGCAACTCCAAAAGTGACATAAGTGAAATACGAAAAACGAGATATTCGAAGAAGAAGATTAAATTATACAGGACTTGTGCAAGACCTGCACCCTGAAGAAACGTTCAGTTTTGCTGAGATTGAGGTGTACATTTGATCGATGTTTTCAAACAGATGACAGATTTATAGTATTACAGAGGAGACCACCAGTAGCGAGATACACTCATACACGAAAGTATTCGAATGCTTATATTTGCTACGTTCAACCACTAAAGTATGTAGATTAAACTGAAATACTTGTAACGATATAATACATGCAGTAAGAAGAAAATTCTGAGGCTATATCAGATAAATTAGAAAATAATTCAACGACATATAAGGTATTCATAATACCTTCAAGAAATACGTGTCGTGGTAGCGCTAGTGAGTTCTATGGAAAATCGTCAGATGGATCAACCTTGTATTAGGACTTCTTATTTTTGAATTAATATTACTTTCCACTAGCATTACATGCGTTGCTTAATATAAATATTGTACATATCGTTGGATTGTATTACCATTTTACTCTTCCTTCTTGTTATATACATCATTATTGTATTATAATTTTTCAGTTGAACATGCATATATCACTTCTTAAAAATAGTACATGTAAAATTCCAATACTTCCATGCATGAGTGTACATGAGTTTCTTCAAGAAGTGTTTATCCATCATAGCCATCCTACATTGGTTATCAGTAAGAACATCCTGTTTGGGTTTCCTTCAATGGACTCTTATGAATATGAATTTGATGAGGAACTTGTCAATGATTGAATAACTTGATACAACTGTTTGTTACTCCATTACTCCCTAAACAACAACCAACACGTATTAGAGTTTTATAGTAACAATATTTTTTGGATGACCTGATAAAGCACAGTAGGGTGAAAAATCCTGATTTGTTTGCTGACTGGTTGACGATTCTGGTCAGTGATAAGGTGGATGTTCCCTGATAATTTCTTGACCGTGTTGGATGTGTCGTGAACAGCTAAGACGAACATTTCACCGTCCAATAATCTGACAGATAAGAATATTCAGAAATTGTTTTACCATTAGTCATCAATATCACGAAAATATTCTTGAACTGATATTCAAATCCAGAAATAAAGCATATTGACGTGTCATTGGACAAGTTAGTTAAGATAGAGAGGAATTTGTTCACCACTTTGCTATACTGTTTGAGGATCACAGACAAGGCCGATATTTTGATTTATTTTTTGGAGTGATGTTGTTAAGGAGCTTCAATTGGTTAGGAGCTGTGGCTATGATGATACTGTGTCTCCTCTTACTGAAAAAAATTGAGATGGGTTAGAGCACCTGGTAAATAGCAAATGTATATAGCAGACACAGATATTATAAATAAGATAATATTAAAAAATGAGTAAAATTAGAGTTAATATTAAGAAAATCAAAAGAAGACAGGTTGGGGTAGTTCAGCAACCATCTAGAATGCAGTAACTCCCTTCGGGAACGAGCAAATGCTGTTGATCGTAAGAAGAAAAATTACAAGAAGTACAATTCATTGTTATATTCACAAGGACATTAAATATAATTAACGCTCGCATTTCATCGTGAAATTTTTTCTTAACATATGAACACGTGATAGAAGTATATTCTTATATTCGTAATTATAATATTGTTGTTACATCTATTAATTGGCAATAATTTTTGTGCAAAAATAGTTTCGTATCTCATATGTATTCATTTATAATTATATGTTTCTTTTTTTCCTGTAATAGAATTCTTAATTAAATCTAAAAATCTTGTATCACGATGCTTATGATATATCGTATCGAAGGTAAATTTGATTATTAGCATCGTAACTTAATTACCGATATTTCGATGTAAATTCAATTGATTTGTAAGAATATTACGAAATAATGAAAGTAGTATACAAACAAAAGAGACGTTATCATACCAAAATTTTTATTTGTAACTAAATAAATGATCAAACGAAAAAGATATTTGAAACTTTCTGTAATTCATCGAAGAAATACTCGAAGTAAGATGTTGATCTTTTTTCTTCTAGCTAATAAAATAAATATCTTCCAAATTTTGTGATATAAGTTAATAAATTGCGCACAGCGTTGGAATAATTATAAATATCTCTTTTTTTAGTATGAATAGACCATGATATTATACCTAATATTACAATATGCTTTTCAAAAACAATTACTATACATTTAAGAAATTGCAATGCAAAAGATCGTTATTTTCATCTCAATCAATGCTTCATTTTTATAATAGCGTGTACTGAAACCTACAAATGTTCATGATATTTGAAAATTACATTTTTTCAGAAATTTTATGATCACAATAGAAGATTATTATACCTAAAAATATGTATAATCAATTGTAGCAATATTTCGCATCTACGATTAATCAATGTAGTACTTCATATTTGATAAAGATATAAACATTTACATAGTTCAAACAACAGAATATTTTGCAATCTCAGTATCCAATTATATACCGTAATGTAATGTAAATTTTATAAAGTCAGCAATTATCATAAGCGTATAAATTGGAGACGTAAAAAATAATGCAGGTCTGTCTATAATTCGTTACTAGTATTGAAAACCTTTACTCAGCCTGAGTAACCTAACCTCATTTTTTTCTTTCTTTTTTGGTATCAAGTGGTTTCAAAAAAAACCACATTTTATATTTTAAATTATCTCAATATTAATGAGTGTTTTTAAATTTTGTTGGTGGACAGACCTGTAATGATGTAATATTAATCAACTACAGCTGTTTAATAAACTATATTTGTATATATATGTATATATCTTCACCATATCTCTTCAACCTCGTTATAGTATAATTACATTGTTAAAAGGAAAAAAATAAAAACATTAGAATATACATTTATTCTTAAATCGAGCTCCAATTTCCAGTGATATTATATCATATACAGTTCTATGCAGTTTTGTCATATTACGAATCATATTTGACAAAAATTAAAATCAGAAGAATTTATATTGAATAAAGACAGATACAATAAACTATGGGAAATATAGATATAATCCATTGTTGGTCATATTCATCATTTAAAACTGCGATGCAAGAAAACATGGCAGTCAAATTAAAGCTTGGACAAAAGATGTATAATCAATGTTAATTTAATAAATTAACATTTCACGACTGCTTTTTTTTTAGTTTTAAAAATCATAAGTTATCTTCAAACACTGTAATAACTTCTAAGTATATTTTATAGAACAAGATTAAATGGCACAATATTGATATTCATACTTTCAATTCTTATTAAATGTATATGATAATAAAATTTGTATTATAGCACTGAAAATATAATGTACTTTCTCTTATTTTATATCCAATTCCACTTGTCTTCCTGAGACAAAAGCTTTAATTGTATAAATGTAATACATAAAAATTGACGATTCATACTGTATTAAATAACGTATGTCGTTAACATATGGTTGTAAAATTGCTTAAAGAATAACTGGCAATGTACATCTCTTTTATAAAATTCTATATGATTGTTCCATTGGCACATGACAAATTTTCTATTCATTTACTGAAATGAATAAATTTATAGATGTGCTCTTTCTACATCTATTTTTTGTATGAAACTTTTACAATCTCTTGAATTTTGAAGACCAGTAGTCAAATTGTATTGCAAAGATAAACCTTTGCACCAACATTTATAAATTTTATATTTGTGTACAAATTTTTTACTGATGCCAAAGAAAAAAGTATGGTATAGCTGCATACTATTCATGCCCTGTACTTCAAAGATCGGATTTGTCCTGCATGACTTCCTCTGAACAATTTCTGGAGGATAAATAAAGTAACGTCAAAAAGACTATGAAAACATGAAATATAGATAACTACACCAACTCTTTTTTTTATACATGAAGGTCAAATACAGCCTTAATTTTATATTTTACATTGTATTTAACAAACAAATTTTTAATATTTAGAAATATTATTGAGTTGGTGAAAAAAAGTATTACAAAAAGAAAAAAAAAAAAAAAAAAAAAAAAAA